ACTACAATTTCTCTTTCGCCTGTTAATAATGCAGATAATATAAAGAACAACCGAAGAATGTCTCTTTTTAGTATCCAATGCCATATTGCCTTGTTAAATTTCTAAAAATAATTAACTCGGGCAGCGTTGGATTGTGCTACCTTAATTGATACTTACTCGGATCTCTGACTAAGATGAGTTTGTCCTTTGCGTTGCCCTTCTTATTGTTCATTTATTATATTTACTATTGCTTTTTCTGAAATTTTATGATTGAGCTAGATGGTAACATACTGACATAACTAACAGTTAGGAAGTTAATACAAAAAAGGGGTTTTATGGAACCTGAAAGATAAAGCAGTGAAATAGGTGATAGTTTTATTTGGCGGGGACTTCGAATACCCGCGGGGACCTATTATTCCCCGTGGAGATGGGGACGGAGGCAATTTTTGAGCCTCCGTCAAAAATTCCCACGGGAATCCCCGTACCCGCCATTGACGGGGATGGGGATGGGGATGGGGAGGGGGTCCCCGCCCCCGTGGGGACCCGTTGCCATCTTTATGCATGAGCTCTATTTATGGTTACCTTAAATTTGTTAAAATTATTTAAAATTTAAAATTTTATTTTAAATTAATTATTAAAAATAATTAATAATTTATAAAAAAATTAATATTTATTATTTAATAAATTAAAATTAATTTAAAATAAATATTTTTAAATATTATCATTAATTATTTTAAATTTTATAAAATGATAAAATTATAATTAATTACAACAAGTGAACTTAACAAAATAATGGGTGAGAATAACCCTGCCTTTTTTTGGTATTTTATTTATGTTGACTTGTTGAGGAAAGAATTCAGTACTACGTTCCATTTTGAGGATAAACTTTTGGGCAAAATAATCAATTACACACTAACGAACACTCGAACGGCGATGTCACAATAACCTACAAATTTTTATTGAGCCTTGAGCCTTTTTATTTATACTAATTTGTTCGTACAGGGCTTTAAGCCCTTATATACTCATCGATTAATTTAGCCCACCACTTTGGATGGGCTCAATTGGTGAAGCCCAATTCGTGGGCCACGCCTAAGCAGCGAATCAGAGATGAATTGATTATCTGCTCTCAACACAGCAGA